GGGGGGGGGGGGGGGGGGGGGGGGGGGGGGATCAAAGGGCCGCGCCCCGGCTCTCAGAGCCCCCCGGCAGCAGACCAGCGCTGCCATAATTGGGGAAGAGCCACGTAAAACTGTCTCGGAGAGGCCAAGGACGGCTTAATTACACAGTGAAATTTAATTAGGCCGGCCGACCTCGATGCATTAGTGTTTTTTGTTTTTTTTTACACATGTTTATCGTTTGTTCCAGGCGAGTTATGGTGCCATAACTAAGCGCACATTTGCCCTGTCAGAGTAAATGTATTCAGAATGGCCTCAGACTTTGAAGCGTCCAGCAGGTAATTCTCAGTTTTTTTTTCTCTGTTGTTTATCCAGAGCAAGCCCCCAATTACTGCTTCTTTTTTTGGGGTCTGTAAACCTTAATAGATGCCACGTAGCCTGGGTAGGAGAAGCTCAGTCCAGGATAAATGTTTCACCCCACAAGGCCTCGGCCCTTCAGAGGGGTTTGTATTGGCTTACCTGGTTTTTTAACAGGAAAAGGGGCATTTTGAGGGATTTTAAAGGAGCCGAAAACGGCACCGGGATGCATTTCTCTGAGGAGGTGAGCCGCTCAAAGATTAAACCTTGGCTTAATCCAACGTTTCATTCGGGGTTTCAGCAGAACTTCTGTTTACTTTTAATCAGCGCCGGTTGGCTCTCTAGCTAGCACGTGTGAGTTATGAAGTGTTTGAATGCGGTGTAACTTCAGCCGGAGTCGTGTTTTCTCTGGCGGGACGTGGAGTGAGCAAACTCAGCCGCACGGCATCTCCCCCTCGGCGTGCGGACGACGTTTATGATGATGGATTTTTCCTCGCGTCGGGCCACATTTCTTGGGTTGATGGGTAACTCGGTTCAAGGGGTCGCACCTCTCTGCTTTGCGGCTTTTTTTTCTGGCTTTTTGCGGCCTTATTCTAAAATAGGAACCAGTGTTTACACGACGCATAACATTTGTAACGTGTGTTTATTTTAGAGTAAAGATGTCAGGCACTCAACCCACTGCAGCTAAAGTCATATTTTAAAGGGATGAAGGCCTGAATGGTGAGAAGATGACTAATTTCCTCTGCTCACTTGGCTTGGCTGTATTAGTCAGCAGTATTGAGGTTTTGATTTATGCCCCAGGTGGGTCAAGCACCTATTTGAAAGCCCATGACCTCTCAGAGTACGAATGCCATGAATTACTGAGAAAACATTTTTTCAATGCCCTAATCTTAACCATCAAAACAAGTTTGAATGTCAAATATGGATCCACTGGCTTCTCCTGAGAATGGAGAAAGCCCAGTGTTAAAGAGTTCAACCACTTGGGGTGTTTTAAAAGGATCTTCTCTTCTCAGGCGCTGGACCAGGACCGAACCTCCCTCCAGAAGGTGAAGAAATCAGTGAAGGCCATTTACAGTTCTGGTCAAGGTGAGATTTTTGCGTTTTTCTAAACATATGGCCCCTGTTTTTGTAGACCGTCGCAAAAAGAAAAAAAAAGAGCCTTAAAGGGAAAGCAAAGGAAATCTGTGAAGTCCAATAAAAGGAGGATCGCACTGTTTTTGTGCCTGGAATGCCTCCTTTTGTGGGACAGATGGTGTATGAAGCGTGTGTCCTGAAAAATCAACACCTGAGCTTGTTTCGCTGTGAACAGGATCTTCGGTAATTTTCCACTGAATTCTCCCGAGAGCAGCCTCCTCCCTTTAAATTGTCAGTTTGAGACGTTTGTTTGCCGTCTGCTGAAAGGAATCGCTGTTTACCTTTGTCTCGCTTTTAACTCCTCGGGATGAAAAAAACTAAAGACTGTATGCAGAAACAGCTGCAGCATCCAGGAGCTGCATGCTTATAAAGTTACACAAAAAAAGAGAAAAAAAAGGAATGAGCCCAATTTCAGTTCCAAGGTTTCACAGGCGAACATAGAAAAATACAAACCCACGTGATCCCTGTTTGGTCTCAGAATCCAAAACACGACAGTAAATGAGTCACACGGTGTGTCCTCGTTTCACAAACTTTAGATTTTCAGTAAGTTTGAGTGCCAAAGGTTTGTCTGTTTTCCTGCTCAGGAGCCTTCAGGTGTAATGCCAAGGAGGAAAGACATCAGAAACTTCACGAAATGAGCAAGTGCTGCTGTCTAAGAGCCATGTCTTAGCCCCAGGAGCCGGTTAGCATGTTAAATGTTACAGTTCATGGCCGTACAATTAGAAAAAAAGCCTGTGAAAAGGAACAGGAAAGCACAGCTTAGGTTGGTAAAATGACAAATGACAAGTTTCCTTTGTACAGACCAGACCAAAGAAGAGATGTTTGGTCAGAAAGCACGGCGGGAACCAGCTGCCAGGATGGTGGGCAGGGATGGTTAGCTAGGTCTGAATCAAGCATGCAGCTCCTGGATGCTACACCTGTTTCTGCGTAAAGTCTTTTGTTTGTAGTGGGTAAGACTCAGGATAACGATCCCAGACACAGCAGCGAACTACAGAATGTGTGAAACAGTCCAGAGCCCAGCCTGACAGAAAGACTATGGCGGGACCTGAACAGAGCCGCGCAGCAGCCAAAGCTGCAAATCTCCCAAAGACTGAGCAACTTTTTCTCAGGAAGAGTCAGCCAGAATGTGTCCAGAGAGTCTGACCTGAAACAGAGAGCTGCATCTGCATCTCGTCCTCATTTTTTCTGAAGACTTTTCTGAATGAGACCTGTGAAATGTCTGTTTTTTTTTTTAAAGGCACAGCAGCGATGTTATTTTTCTGAGATAAAAATTGAGAAAGACAGAAGCCAGAAATCCCTCAAAGACGTTTGTGTACACCCCTCCGAGCAGAGGTGCTGTAAGAAATATAAAGTGCTCATTAACTGCCTCTTGTGCAGCCAAAAAAACTCACATTGTTTATGAAAAAAGAACGAAAAAAGGTCAGTGACTGGAGTTTTAGCATGCTGACGCATCGTTCTTCACAAACCAGCTAAGAACACTATGTCAAATAGCAAAAATACTTTTAAAGCAAAAAATTGGTGATTCCAAAGTATCTGTTCAATGTAATGCTAACCTCTGAAACAACTGAACCTGGGAAATGATAATGTTAACCAACCTTTGCTGAGAGATGGTCGCCTGATCGTAAAATAAAAGTTCAGCTTGTTTTTTTAAACCAGAAACGAGCCGGAACTTTCCTTTTGCCCTGCTTTCATTCGAGGGACATCACATTCTACGACTAGAGGAAGAAATCATCAGTTATAAAGGGTTAATTAAGCTTAAATACCTGGTGTCACCCCACACCTCCTCTCCAGCAGCAACTTAACGACAGGGATAGATGGCCGTGCCCCTGTAGAGAAGAATTCCCCAGAAGACCCCAACCCCGATGACTCGTTATGGTCAGAACCCACGAAAACAGGCTTTTTTGGAAAGTTGCGGGTTAAAACGAAAAAGTCATGCAGATGTAGGATCTCTGAGAACCTCTACGAACTTATTTTCTAGCCCTTTTTGAGCCCTTCCTTCACCAAAAAGCCGTTCCAAACATAATCGGTTCCGTTTTTCAATTCATAGGACGTAGATGAGTTGTAATGATCAGCCTGGACAGAGTAATATGTCTGAAGACTCAAGAAATCCCATTTCTTGTTACGGGTTTTTAGAAATAAAGGCGACCAGGGGCCTCATTGTGGGGGAAGAACCGGAAAACAGAGAGAAACTGAGAATCCGGAGAGGTGTCGGTGCCAAAAGGGTCGTGCCGAAACGCCGATATTAATGGCTGTGATCAGGGCAGAGCCATCGACCAGTTCCGCTCCATCACCAGCCACCGCCCGCGTGCCCTCGAGCAGCCACACCGCCCTATCGCCCCTACGTGTTTCCAACAGCACTGTCATCAGCCTCGTTTGAGTTTCTGCCCCAGAACAGGAGCTCTTTTCAAACACGAAGGGAAACCATCCGTGCGCTGTGATTGGTCGGACGATTAGTCCCAACCTGCCAACACTAAAAAGATAAATAACCAGTAGAAATGCCTCCATCTTTACTTCCATTCACCTGTGAAAAGCTCAACTAAACAGACATTTCCTGCAGTCTGGCCAGCCGGTCATGATGTTATGGTGTCCCAAAGGACCAGAGAAAAAGCCCTGGAAGCTGCTTTGCCAGGTCTGGACACGCCTGATGGTTCTTTTTTTTCTCTGGCTCTGAGGATGACGTCACCTCAGGTTAAAACAAAGAAAAAAAGAGACACAATCACCAAACGGTTCGACCCCGATTCGGCCCTGAATTGCTTTGATTCCTGACCTACAAATGCTTCTGTGATCAGATGAGTTTGACCTGCATCATCCTCCACACCTGATGCAAAGCGACCTATCAGGACTTAGCTCTGAGCTAAGCTAACCATGCTTAGACTGACTTTTTAAAAATGTTTTATTTCTTTTTTTCTCTTTCCAACACAGATCATGTTCAGAATGAAGAAAACTACGCGCAGGCTCTGGACAAGTTCGGCAGCAACTTCATCAGCCGGGACAACCCGGACCTGGGCACGGCCTTCGTCAAGTTCTCCTCCCTGACCAAGGAGCTCTCTGCCCTCCTGAAGAACCTGGTGAGTCCAGAGTCCAGCACCGGGGGGGGGGGGCTGTCCAGCCATCCCCACCTGGACAGGAAGAGGGAGAACTTCCCGTCCCGAGGCTGTTTTACCCGTCTCCACTCGTCTAAGTGGGTTAGGATTTGGGTTTAAGGTCGAGATTAGGATTAGATCAGGTGAAGGGTCGAAGGTGGGTGGGAACACATGCTGTGGTTTATTCAAATCATCATCATTCTCTGAATTAAAGTCGAACTGTCGCCCCCCCAGACAGACCAACTTTAATGCTGCTTTTCAATAAGAATCTCCTGTTTGCTTCCTCTGAGTGACGGTTCTTGTTGGAGCGTCTTCTCCAGCGAGATTAGACGCCATAAATACACTTGGCTGAACCGACTGTGTGTGAGTCGGCGCGCAAACCGACGCAAAGCCCGCCTCTCTTCCGTTTTCGGCGCCCGGTCGGCCCTTTTGGACTCCGATAGCGGCGCCCTGAGGCCGGCCGCTGCGTGCACGTGAGGCCAACGCGTATTGATGAGCAACGCAGCGTCCGGGATGACCTACATGTGCTCTCAGCCAGAGCATACAGTGGGGGAAATAAGTATTTGACCCCTTGCTGATTTTGCAGGTTTGCCCACTTACAAAGAATGCAACGATCTATAACTTTAATCATATGTACATTCTAACAGTGAAAGACAGAATCCCAAAGAAAATTCCAGAAAATCACATCATATGAATTTACAAAAATTGATAACCATCTGATGAGGAAAAATAAGCATTCTTTGTAAGTGGGCAAACCAGCAAAATCAGCAAGGGGTCAAATACTTATTTCCCCCACTGTAAGGGCCGCGTTAACAGAACCAGCCTGCTTTTCCGAACCCCCCCCCTCTCATTTCTGAGAACGGCGTGGTCAGAGAGAGCAGAGGCTGTTAGAGCCCGCCGGCAGCCGGCCATCAAAGATTGATTGCGATGTTTCTCTATATGCAAGACGGGCACTTAAGCAGCACATTAATGCCCATTAAGCATTGTTTACCCCCCCCCGCCGCTGACTGTCTGTGCAGACTTGGCTAACAGCAAGAGGGACTTAAACGCTTAGCGCTGTTGTAAATGACCTTGCTTATCCCGGTGGTTAGAGCTGCTGAGCAAAGCTGTGGCAACCAGAGCCGCAGGACACGTTAAGCTTTCCCTAACACCTCCGCAGACTTATCAGAAGTAAGCTTTTGATTTCTTCTGTCGGCTCCGGCAGGGGCGTGTTGGAGCGCGGCTGTAAAGTGAGACGCTCGCCTTATTTTAAAAAACGAAAACGTTTTTTCCCCTTTCATAAAAAGCGCAAACGGACAATGTGCTGGAGTTTCTCTCTCCTCCTCGTCTGATCACCCCCCCCCTCACTACTTCCATATTGACGCCAGATCACAGGATGCTGTGTGATGTTCAATGACTTGCTTGTGCCCTCAAAAGCTGACTCAGCAAGTCTATTCATCTGTCTTTCCGCGTCTTTCAGCTCAGTGTTTTGGTGTTACCGCATCTTTCTAGTTTTTGTGAAATGACTTAATAATAAAGATTAATCTCTGGCAGTAAAACACTTTCGAAATCCGACTCTAAAGTCAGAACAGCCATCACCGCTCAGCAGAAAAGTCTCACTTCAGCCTCAATTCGTCATTTTTCCACACAATAGGCTCTGCTCCCGCACTTGTAAGTGGTTAATGTATATGCTTCTACATGTGCTCTGCAGCCATCTGTGTTCATAAAGGAGAGTGGATATTACCCCAGCGCCCATCGGGAGGCAGGAAGCCTGCCCCCCCCCCCCTTAATGGTGCTGTTGCCTAGCGCTCGGTGCCTTGTTTTCTTTCACCTGACCTTCAAGTGGATGTTGTTATCGGGACTGTCTGCTAAACAGGACGCGGAAGGTCACGGAAACCTATCTGCACGAGAACGAGCGCTTTTTGGAGCTGTTTTTGAAACCGACAGCAGGGGAAACGCGACCTCGGTATTAAGCGAAAACAGGTCTGCGTCGCGCTAATCGAGCGATTGCAACACGAGGATTCTGCATGCGGTTTGTCCTCCGGCCTCTCCCGCCTCCCCGGTTGCTCGATAAACAAGAGACCCCGGCTGTAAAGCGTTTGTAGTCTTTGGTGAATGCCAGACCGAGGAAGCGGGGAAGCCGCTGGGAACCCGTGGAGCGCTGTGGACTCAAACATATTCAGCGTTGGCAGCTGGATACAGCACTCGCTACTGTCTGCTGTATTTTTCAATCCAATTTTTTCTAGGCTTAGTTTAATTTTTGTGGCAAGATGAATTCGTCTTATTCCCTGATCACACCTGCTGCATTAAACTCTGTCTGCTCTCATCAGAGGTGTCCGGGAGATTGATTCATTGAAAGTTGTGTCTTTGGGGTTTCCTTGGCTTCCTTTCCTCCATAAATCCTCACTAAATCTCCCCGTTCCTCCTCTTCCTGTGTCCTCTCCCAGCTCCAGAGCCTCAGCCACAATGTGATCTTCACCCTGGACTCTCTGCTGAAGGGGGACCTGAAAGGCGTGAAGGGGGTAAGTAAGCCTCATGGGGAACCTGCCGGCCCGCCTGGCCTCCTCTGAGGGGGAAAATGCCTCGTCAGCAGCTCTTTTTCCAGCCCTGAACCTCCGTCCCTGTGATTAAGGGAGCAGCCAGACAAACAAGGGGCAGCTGGGAGCCCTCTCCTTTTTTTTTTTCTCCCAACTATAAATCTGGCAGAAGTAAACACCGCCTTTGTGTTGTGTTTGAGGCGAGTGGCGAGTAACTCTGTCATAAACTCTTGATGCTAGAGGTCGGAGAAAAGGGGCGTGGCCACTGGCCGGGCGCTCAGGCTGCGAATTGTGAGCGTAAACGAGGCATTTTCTGGGCCGACCTGCAAATATCTCTGTCCCAACAGTGACCTCTTTGTGGTTCCCTGAGTCTTGTTCCTCTCTGTGTGTCTGCAGGACATAAAGAAACCCTTTGACAAAGCGTGGAAGGACTACGAGGCCAAGTTGTGAGTGGACCGTTGCATAATTCACAGGCTAGCTCGTTAGAGAGCACTGAGAAATGGTATTGTGTGGCAGCCATGTTTGGAGCCTCCAGGTGCATCACAGAAGGGACGAGGCAGACAAAAGGGGGGCTGACTTTTTTTTTTCTCTTTTCTGTGCCAGCACAAAGATAGAGAAGGAGAAGCGGGAGCACGCCAAGCAGCACGGCATGATCCGCACCGAGATCACCGGGGCTGAGATCGCAGAGGAGATGGAAAAGGAACGGCGCCTGTTCCAGCTCCAGATGTGCGAGGTGAGAAGTTCGGCAGCTGGCGTCCACGCACGGCCATGTGGACGAGAAGGAAAGCAAAGGGAAACGAGCCTCTCTTTTGTGCGTCCCACACATTAGCAGCCACAGAAAACGCCCTATTGGTGTGATCACCAGGGAAAAAGGTTTACGGAAATGAGTCCAGAAACAGAGGCCATCCCGGCATATTTTAAAGGAGCCGTTTGCCTCTGGAAGACCACATGCATTTTTTAAGCTTAGACAAGAAAAGCTGACAGTCTGCTGCCAACACATGAGTAAGAGAATAAACCCACATCAAAGCCCAGAGCAGTAATTACATATTTGATCATGAATCTGATGCTGAATCAGAAATCTGTGTCCTGGCACACAATCCCCATTGGCCTGGTAAAGCGAACGTAACCTGAATAAACTGGTTTATTGGCGTGCTCCGTGATCTCAAATGGAAACGAGCGCAGCCTCATTCTTGAGGAAAAACCCCTCCTGCCGTGCTGAATTATCTCCAAATGCCATATAGCCCCCGCCGGATTCGCCCGACTGGCTTTCTGAGATTTAGCAAGAGTGAAGGTAATCCAAAGCCAACGCTGTTTATCAGAATGTACCTTAGATCCATATCGTCTTTCAGGTATGGATCCTGTCGTTTGATACCAGAGAAATAAAAGCTGTGGGCCTTTTCCTCTGCTGCGGTTGGGTTACACACAGGAGTGGCACTTTTAAATAAAGCTTTGAAGCTTTTGTGTCACTTTGAATCTCTGGTTTAGGAATTGTTCCCTCTCATTTCTGCTGAGTCAGCTCATTGTACAACGGCTCCCTAACCAAACAAACATCTTTTATCTGGTCAAAGAAGCTTCAGCTTGGATTTGAGGAGGCTCCCTTTTGATCAAATAGCAGCATCAATGTCAAGATTGATCAGGATTGCAGAGTTTTTCCTACATGAAATTGAAATGATATGCTTTATTAGGTCTCTTTAGTTAATAGATTTTTATTTATATGAAGCAAATCACGACAATGGTCAATTATTTTTTTCTGTCTTTGATGATCTATGATCTAAGTGCCGTCAGAAGATACATAAGGAAAGTTATTTATATTATAGTTATTCATATACTTGACCTAAACTGGTTTGGACCAGTTAAAGTGATTATACAATAGCAAGTTCACTTAAAGTGCAACTCTGAAAGATTAATGACAGCCGTCAGATATTTGAGCTTGCACTAAACAAGAAAACAGGTCGCTTTTAGATGTAAGCGTTTTCAGATGTTCCCCTGATTCTGTAAGCTTTTGATCATGGTGTGACCCCATCGCTCCGAGGCCAAGAGTGAAGGAATCCAACAGTGGGAATTAAGTACAAAACGAATGTGAGCTCTCTTTGTGCCCAAGAGAATCAGAACAAACTGTTAGAGCTCTCTCCGCTTTGCCAAAATCCTCTCTGGTGGTGGGCGGTGCCGCCTACGTCCCGCGCACCGTTTTATCCTGACAGTTTGGGTTTTTTTCTTTTTTCAAATTACATAATGGACCGGCGACTGCTGCTCTGCATTTGGTTCTGTGAATTATTCACGACGAAACTCGCTGCAGTCCTTTTTTTTGTAGTTTGGTTCCTTTGCGCCCTGTTCTCGGAGAGGCAGACGATCAGTAATGTTTTCCAGTGAAGTAAAATATGAATCAAAGGCGAAATGCAAAGCACGGAAGCTAAATAACAGCCATGCTAGCATCTGCGTTAGGCCATGAGTGACGTTTATACCACGCTCACCCACTCATTTTAGCATCCAAGCATGCTAAGTCTCAACCATAACACCAAATGTTGGAAACTAGTTGTACAGTTATTTTGCTGTTTTTCTAATTAGCATCGTCATGACGTCTTCCCGTTAGCTTTAATTTATCTCTGCGCTAGGCTCTTACATCTGTTAGTTCTTGACATCCATATAAATTAGTCTTCACTCTTATTTAGGCTTAAGTTTACTTGTTCAGTGATAAGTTGGAGGAAAAATTAGAAGCCCACAACCCTCGTAAACAACGCAAGGACACCGCTGTGCCTGCTCTTTTCCTGCAAAGGGAGCTATAACTTTCGGGCTTCTCCACCTGCGACTATTAATCTTTTCCAGTCATTCTACTTTCTTCCTTTTGCAAAGAGGGTAATAAATCAGCTCAGGTATTCTCGACAGTTTGATCGGCTCAAACTCTTAAAGCTTAGATTTTCAATTCTGACATCAATCTCTGCAGATTTGATTTTGAGCTCATGATATGAGTCTAACCCTTTTTTGATGATATCACAATTTGGTTAAAAACGGATCTGCTCAAACCTGGAGAGCATCACTGTTACCCCTCACTTGAATTGTGTTGATCTTTTAGCTGGTGTTTTTGTCAGGTCGTTTGGGAAGTATCTTTTACCAGCTGAATTCTCCATTGTTTTCACTGGCTGTTGAGCATAGCACAGTAAAGGTTAAAAGACACTAAGTAAGCCTCATTGTTGGGCTCAGTTGCTTTTTGTATCTATTTCCTCTGCATTGTTGTGACATTGACATTTAATATGCTGCCATAACTTGTTTGAACCAGCTCTTGCAACAGTTTTTTTCCCTGCATAATTTCAAAAGATCTACCCCTCACTCACTTCATTATCCAGCTTTGCAGCCCGCCCCCGGTTGAGGCTGGTGTCCAAAAACGAGTTTGATCTTCCACATCACATTAGCAGTGGCTTCCTTCTTTGTTAGCCTCCACGCATCCGGACTTGGTTTGAAATTTCTCATTTGCTCTTGCCATTAGGTCACAGCACGACATGAGCAAAACCGCCCGCGTGGTTTCCCCACCAGCCTGAAATTTGTTGAAGAGTCATCTCTGCATTTTGAAACAAGTGATGAACATTAAAGCTCCTATGCCAATTAAAAGAGGCCAGGATAATGACAAACCCAGACAGATCCTAAATCCACACTCATTAATGCCGGGAATATCAGAGCTGCTGTTGTTGTGTGCTGCAGTCAGTTGTACAAGCTGCTCATCCCACTTAACCTCATTTCTCTCTGCTGCCTGCACTCTGCCACTCTCACACTCTCCCCACGTTACTCAATCACCAGATTACTGGATGCTCTCACCCTTTTCATCCCACCCCGCCAGCGGAGGAGTGCGGAAAGGCACGGCTCGGCAGGCTGCATTATTTTCCGCACAGACGCGGCCTCTCATTCACACAAAAGGGTTCAAACGTGCACGCTCAGAAAAAAAGAGGGAAAAAAAACTGAAACCGCACAAGCCTCAGACAAAATGTGGATAATCTCCCGTCCTGCAGGCGCGGCAGACAAAGGGCCAGCACACGCATGCGTGCGCACGTGTGTGCATGCACACCCGGGCATTCATGCGTATGCTAACTCGCATGCCTCCACACATGAGGCGAGGAGCAAATTCAGACTAGATGTTGTCGTCCGAGGCCTCAGACAATGGATTAAAGCGGACTGCAGAGCTGAAAATGGTCTTTAGCCGTGGCCCGTTGTAAATCTGTGAGGATTAAAGATTATCTCTTATTCTTTTGGTGGGGAAGACATTTGTTTTGATTCCTCAGACAGCCAGACTAAGCATACACCCTCACAAAGCTCCTCCTCCCAAAGTTCTCCTGTGTTCTGTGGCGCTAACATGATATGCTTCCCATCGCCCCTTTGAAACTCGATTTAGATTAGCGGGACGCTGCTCCGCTGCTCTTCAGGGCAGATTCAACTCTGTTTACCACTCTGGTCTCTGCTCACGGCGTCTACACAACGCTGGCTTTAACATCAAAGGCCTCATGAAGCATATGTGTCCTCAGATGCGATTATCATAATGCGATGTGTTCATTTCTGTGTCTGTGGCAACATTCTCTGTGTCTGTGCAACTCCTCTGCCCACTTTCTCTCACCAAACTCGTAAAAAAAATCTGAATCTGAGCTTCCCGTCTTCTCCTCGCAGTACCTGATCAAAGTCAACGAGATCAAGACCAAGAAGGGAGTGGACCTCCTGCAGAACCTGATTAAGTATTACCACGCGCAGTGCAAGTAAGTGCCGCCATAATCCCCCCTCCTCACTCAAATGTGCAGCCCCCCCTCCCTCCCCCCTGCCGCGGGCCTCACACCCACTCACACAGATTTCACAACAACTCCTCCGCAGCAGCACGTGATGTCATTTTTTTTTTCCCGGTACGGTGGATGACAGCGTGACAGATTTTTCTCCCCGCCGTTGCTACGTCCTGCCACAACAGCGCGACAAAACAATGCACTTCCCCAGTAATCTCTTCAGCCTGGGCCCGGACGGATGGAAAGGGCTGCCGCGGTGATGGATTAGGAGCATTAGGACACCGGAGGGAGGCTGTGTTACGGCGCACATCTTGAGAAGGAGAAAGCAGCCTGTGCTCGGCCTGAAACCCACAATGAGGAGACTCACGCACGCAGAGCGTTTTTTGACCCGTTTGGGTTGATATATCACAACGTTGCCCAACTAAAAACCTCAATTAAGTCATTCTTTGTGTGTGTGTTAGCGTGTCCGTTAACCAGAAACGATGTGTGGTCCCTCAAGTTATGAGTGTGAGATCATCAAGTTCTGTTTGTTTTCAAAGCTTTTAGAGGCTTAGAACGCTCAGCCCCAGATGATCTCACTCCCGCCAGACTAACGTCTGCAGAAAAAAAAAGCGGCAAATAAAAGGCTGTCATGAGGAAAGGATTTCCCATTAGCAAGTAAGGAAAGCGAATGTTTTTCAGAATGCGCAAGACATCAAGGGAAGTGAATCCTCCTCTGTAGCTGCGGCAGAAACCGTTCAGAGCATGCATCCTGACACTTTGCAAGCTCAGCAGTTTTGGACCAGCTGAGCTGGGTGGAGTGGGAGGAGAGACGTGTGGGACTGACCTCAATGCAGCGATTGAAGGGAAACGAGCAGAGCGAGATGCGGCAGGGAAAGCGATGAGAAGAGGAGGAGAGATGTGTGTCCCGATGAGAGGAGAGGGCGGGTGGAGACAGGAGGGAAGGTCATTAGCGTTGATTTGCGGGCGCCGAGCTTCGTGGAGGTGTGTGCCGCTGACAGATGCGTAATGGATTTCAGGATGTGCTTAAACACCTCTGCGAAATCTGCCAAGGGCCCAGGCCACATACCGTTTCCGTGCCAAAAGCCAAAGGTGCCAGCACGCGTCGAACATAAACCGCCCTCATTCCACTCCGCGCCCTTCATAAAGGCCAAAAGGAGCGCGTGACATTTCCTAAGCATACGTCCCATAAATGGCTGATGCGTGTCTCAGTGAATTATGATAACTCTGTATTTCTCTCACGTCTCTGCTCTCCAGTTTCTTCCAAGATGGCTTGAAGACGGCGGATAAGCTGAAGCAGTACATTGAGAAGCTGGCAGCCGATCTGTACAATGTAAACACTCACTTCTCTTCATCTTCTCTGGTGTCCTGCTCACCGTGGCCAAACGTTTGGGAAAGCAACTACATAAATACCCATAATGATATGTCTAGTTCTCTGGAATTGTTCCTGTCCTGTGCTGCTGTCTGTTATAAAGGAAAAGCACATAGATACTTAGATGACTTAGATTAACGTGATGGTTCCTGAGCTTCCATTTTCTTTAATTCGTTATAAATTCTGTCATAAGTTTAGCCAGGATCCTTAGCTGCTGAATGAACCTTACTTGAGCCAGTAGCAGTTTCCAGGAACAGGGCTTACCCTTCTTCCACTTTTTTACTCAAGCAAAAGATAGTAATAAGCATTTTTATTCATTTAGGCATGCTAAACATGGCAATATTTATATTTATTAAACTAAACTTTTTCTCTCCCTCACTGCTCCATTTCCTCCTCACAGATCAAACAAACTCAGGACGAGGAAAAGAAGCAGCTCACTGCTCTGCGAGATCTGATCAAGTCCTCCCTCCAGCTGGACCAGAAGGAGGTAAGCAGGTCACAACTGGCTACACAAAGCCATTTTTCCAACAAAAACCAAGCCAGAACCCACCCCCAATTCCCACGTTTCTTCTCACAAAAAACACTCGCACTCTCACTCTGGCCACCACCAAGTTGGAGCTGGTCTCCCGCAGCCCGGAGCGAGTGCCCAGTGCTGTACCATGCTGGTAGCCAGTGTGCGCTAGGCTTTGCTGGTGACCAGTGTTGTGCCTCACTGGCTGCTCAGTGGAGAGCCACCCACTGCCAAACCCTCCAACACACACACACACACACACACACACACACACTCCGCTAAAACACAACTGGCCCCCGAGAGTGTGTTAGTTGTCACCCCCACGCCCCCGCATTCAGTTCAAAACGCTCACACTCAATCAGCCTCTTTGCATGAAATGAGTTGTACGTTCCTTTAAAGGACACCCGTCACAGTTAGCACTGCGAAGCACACCCTCACAAAAGTAACCACACTGTGTTTCGGATGGCAGAGAGTCAGGAAACGCACTCTTTCACACCCACTGCTGAAACTGTAGCCAGATCTTTCACACCTCTCCCCTCTATCTCCCTCTTCTGCCTTCTGCTTGTCTGGAATCAAGTCTAGAAGAGTAAGTGCTGCTGCATGTCGAGCATGCCGTGGTTGACTATAGAGTGGTTTGACCCTGTAGGGGTGTCGCGCCGCATGCCCAGTAGGATCTGTCGTTTACGTCCCTTTTAGCCCTCTCATCTCGTTTATGACCACAGGCCCCCTCCACATAGGCCCTGCAGACCGCTTATGTCTAGTGCGTCCCTTATTGCATGTCTCTGGGGAGCCGCCCGGCCGCCTTTCCGGTTGCTGACCAGTGTCCTTGTGGCTCTCGCAGGACTCCCAGAGTAAGCAGGGGGGCTACAGCATGCACCAGCTGCAGGGGAACAAGGAGTTCGGGAGTGAGAAGAAAGGCTACCTGCTGAAGAAGAGCGACGGGTAAGATGGGAGTATAGAAAAACTCCCAAAAAAATGAATGATCGGACAGAGAAGAAAGAGATGACAGCCAGTCCACTAATGTCTGCCCCCCCTCCAATCACAGGCTGAGGAAGGTGTGGCAGAGAAGACAGTGCTCAGTGAAGGGGGGCATGCTCACCATCTCTCATGCCACGGTGAGTCTACACACACACACACACACACACACACACACACACACACACGCATCCCATGAACCTGCTGACCCTCAGGAGCGACGGCATAAAGAACAAAGGGGGAACATTGCAGGGAGGCTGTGTCGGGCTTTTCCAGTCTGCAGGCTGGCAGAGGGGAGCTGACATAGAAGGGTTGCCATGGTAACACTCTCCTCCACCGTTCCCCCTTACCACCCCCCCCCCCGCCCCGGTGACTCATCTCAGATGGAGCGTGCGCCGCGTGGCGTGTAAGCTGGCACAGCCTCGTCCTCTCTCTCTCTCTCCGTGTGCAGCGGGGCTCTCTCGCCCCTCTGCAGGCTGCAGGAACCCATCCTCCTATCTCCATTTATTCTGTCACGTTGTTGGTCATTGATTTTTTCTAAAAACCTCCGCAAAGCCTCAAAACTAAAGGGACAACCGGACCGAGCGGCTCCGCTGAATGGGCAAACCCAGCTGGTGATGAGCAGGACATAGGTTGAGGTTGAAAGCTGGAAAATCAAATTTTCTGTGTGTCTGCTAAATTTTTACACACAAAAGATCAAATCAAACTATAAAGTCTACTGGTAGATGAGTAATTGATTGACTTCTATGTTGAAAGACCGTCTGATTCATATTTTAGAAGCAGTATCAAAGAATTTTCGTTCATACTAAGAAATTCCACAGAAGATTGAGGAGAATTGATTTTTGTACAAAAGTCTAAAATGATTTGAATCTGAATCAAAGACTTTTAACATTATAAGGGAGTTCTCTTGATGATCCAGTCTTATGAAGTCTTTTGGTTACGCTGCGGGTGATGAGTTCGAAGAACCTCTGTAAATGGCAGATGCACAAGCCGCTACCGGACGTAAATGAATTGAAATGAGAATAATTTCATGTTTAGTCCCCTCATAATGTGGAGGCGGTCAAACCCAGCTGGCTCTTTGGATGGAGCTTTGCTACAACGATCAGCCAAATATCAGCTTGCTGTCACAGTCCGTGTTTCAGAGACCAGCTAAGGTTAAGCGTGCGGCCTTTGGGAGTCGCCAGCATGAGTATAAACACATAAACGTCTTGTTGTGGTCTGCCTAATAAATGAAATACATCAGCGATGCTTTGTTCCTTTGATTGTGAAACCCGTTTGGCTTCCCTCTGGTTGTATCCGAGCCGTGGGTGTTTTCAGATGCTTTCGAATGGAAGCCGCTGCCTTCCAGAGCTTCTCCCCTTTTGCCAGTCGACGATTTGTAAACAAAAGATTGTTCTCAATGATTTCCTCGGTAGAACGCTAGTTCAGATTTGACACCGTCTGCTTCCAGAAGCATGCTAAGTTAGCGTTTATCGTTACAGTTACTCTCTTGCAAAGGTTTAGATTTAAGGCTGGTTGCTTTCACTGTTGAGGACCGGCTGCCAGTCGGCTCTCCGGTTGGCAGCTTATTCACCAGCTGCAGCCCAGCAGGGAGGATGAGCTCCGTCCTCGATGACAGCAAGCTGATAATGACATATCTAAACGCCGCAGCTATAGTCGATATGTGCCGTTCGGTCGGTTCTTCCATGTGAACGTTGACACAGAGGAGAAAACAGGAAAAGGTCTTCCTTTTGTTCTGTGGAGCGATGAGAGGGCAAAACCTTGAGTTTTTGAGTTTTTGAGTTTTCCGTTGCCCCGGTGGCAGCTGAACTCTGGGTGACTCCAGCTGACATGGCAGGCTGCCAGCAGACCAGTCCAGGCCCCGGCGCTCTTCTCAGCCTGTTAGCATTTTATTAGCACGTGTCCCGGCCCCTGCCGGGCCCGGACACCGGCGGGAGACAATGCTCGGCGTGCATGTGCCAGCTGGGTCCAGCCAAGCCAACGCAGTCTTCTTTCTTATAGTGTTTTATCAGCTTTGGAGCTTTTTTTTTTCAGATTTGTTGAATAGCTAAAACAGTGACTGGTCAGTTTTAGCTAGAATCGTGCAAATGAAAACCATGTGGTGGCCGTTCCTTATGTTAATTCCACTGTAAATTTTAGATTTGGTCAGATTGTTGACTTCGATGTAATAAACCATGTTTGTAGCAGACGATATGATCAGGCTCACATTCAGCCTGCAATTAAAACATCTCTTCCAGAATTCAGCTTGGACAAAAGCTGTGCTGCACACAGATGTCTTATTTATATTCATGTTCTTCCTTGTGACAATAGATAAAAGCTAAATAATGCAACCCACTTTGTTAACGTTGTGTTGGCCTCCTCTGACCAACTCTTTCATGTCAGATAATGGATTTAATGGGAAAGCAGGGTTTCCAAGAAATCCTAAAGACTTGGCTTATCAAACATTCAATTAACATTAAATTGAGCAGAAAACGATGCATAAAAAGTGCCAAATGACCTGGAACACCCAGCCAAACAGTCTCTGGCTCTCCTCGGGTCTGAGGGTTTGTTCCTCACTGATGTTACCGAACAAGAAATCATCAAACTGGTGCGATGCCTAACTTTATGATCTGCTTCTTTCTGCAATGTAGATTTTCTGACTAGCCATCGAGTGTCATTTTGTACATTGTAGTCAAACCTTTGTGGTTGGCCGTTTGGGCGCCCTCTAACCCCAACTGTCTTCTCATTTCCAGTCCAACAGGCAGCCCGTCAAACTCAACCTGCTCACCTGCCAGGTGAAGCCGAGCGCCGAGGACAGGAAATGCTTCGATCTCATCTCTCGTAAGTTTTACACACGCATGCGTTTGTGACGTTGATGTAAGGGGAAACAGTGGATCTGTGAAAAGCACAACACGCAGCATTTTGCACTCCTTTCCATCACCAAAGACACGTGACCTGTCGGATTTGTTTATTGCATAACGGCCCTTTGGTCTGTTAGTGTAAAATGCAAAAGTGGAGATTTGCATGTTGAATGGCGGTCTGTTTTTTTCCACAGATAACCGGACATATCACTTCCAAGCTGAAGATGAACAGGAGTTTGTCATGTGAGTATTTCTGAGCAACTTTGGCTCATAGGGACAAAGGAAAAGAAAAGAAGAACTTTTTTGTTCTGCTTGTTGTCACACCTGAAAGGATTTTCAATCATCATTTTCCAACGTTCACTAACCCTACCCTGAGGTTCATCTCCAGCCAGAGTCAGATCTGAGCTTCATCTGAGCGCTTTATTAATGGGGTCTCGGTCAGTGGCTGCTGCCACGCTTCGGTCTTTCAAAGTTTGGGTTGTGTAGGTGGCCGTGGCATTTGTGGCCTGCAGCATTTCAGGTTGCCTCAACCTCATTCTGCATTTCCCCGCAGAATGATGGGTGTTTAACAATGTTTTTGAAATAACAACTTAGGTTTTACATTCATTTTACATTCCTGTGTGATCCTTTTTGTGTTGGTTTGTGTTTCATTTTGCTGACAGACTTTCTGGTAGTCTTCTAAATTACTTTATCAAGTTCCAAGGCTCTCAGAGGAGCTCGTCTTTGGACTTTTACTCTTTCACTTGTTTTCAGACGATTTTTGTGAGCTTTATGAGGTGTGAGGCCACTTCACATGTGTGAGAAGTTAAAGCACAGATGGTCTGTTTAGGGACTTAAGATAAAAAACACAAGTACTAATATCTTTGTAATGATAGCATAATTATCAAAGAGTTGTTAGCTGTAACCTTATCTCATATATCTAAAAATGGAGGAAAGTTAACTTTTGAATCAACTGAGAAGTTAAAAGAACTAACTAATTAGAGCTAGACAAATAACGTTGTTATTTTCTTAATTTATCAGCTATTACTTTGTTCGGTAACTCCAGATAGAGTCAAATAAACCTTTTGGCCTTGAAAGTTCAGGCAAATAATTTGTCCTTTGTTAACAAAAAAGAACAGAACAGACTAATAATGTGGGTTTTCTGTTCATCAGAACAGAATCATCAGAACGGAAAAACAGAAAATCCTCCCGTTAGAAGCAGGATCAAACGAGCGTTAACAATCGATCAATCCTGTAATGGCCTAATGGATCAACAGCTCTGATATTATTTACAGGCTGTGTTAGGCTTATGCTGTTCATAGCTGGATCAGATAAACACACAGACCTTCGTGTAAGATTAACAAAAACAGATAAGTAAACAAAAGCTAATCCAAATTGAATGCACACCTCCTGTTAGAGTGCAGTAACCTGGATTTCTGTCCCTAAACAGATCCCCTCAAATAAAAAGACAACTCAGCCTGAATGCACTCTACATAAACTATATACACGCTATCTAGACTATAATCATTTAAGTTTCCTGCTGAAATATGTAGTATTCCACGGAGCTCCATCTTTGTGCATCATCCTCTCACTCGATTAGGCTGGAAGCATATTCTGATGTGTATTAGGAGTAAAACCAAAAATGCTCTGGCTCAAAGTCACACACCTACGAGGAAATGCCTCGTTTTTCTCACTGATAAACACACAACCGTTTCTGTGTCCACCCCGGGCCGGCTATCTGCCCCTACACAGGAGTTTGAGTGACAGTGACAGACGAAGTGCTCACGCCAGCCTCACAAAGCCTGCTGTGTGTGTGCGTGCGTGTGTGTGTGTGTGCGTGTGTGTGCGTGTGTGTGCGTGTTTGCAGCCCAGTGTGTCGCATGCAGGAGCAGATTGTGCTGTGTAGTGGACTGCAGGAGGCCATGTTTGAAAGGGGAGCTGCAGTGTTTCCTGTGTGATTCTTGAAGGCTGGTGTGGTGTGGTGTGGTGTGTGTGTGTGTGTGTGTGTGTGTTGGTGCATCAGTGTGCGTTTGACCCCGACTTTGAAAACAGGACAATAAGTGCTGGAAAACTGTTGAGAAAACAAGCTTTTTTCTGATAGAAAAGATCAGTGAGAGTGAAGAATAACAAGAAGAGTACAAGTCATTTTACGGCTATCTTTACTAGGACTAATACACAAATCCCTAATTTAACTTGACACATCTTTTTATTAATTTTTCAACATTGTGATAATGTTGGTTTACTTACTTCACAGATTTTTATTTCTGCATCGTACATGTCACTGAAAGAACTTCTATGATAGAAACGTTTCTTTCAGGAAGACGTGTATTACGCCACATCTTTGTCTCACCTTGTTATCACAGTTACAGCTTTTTAGCTAAAGTTAAGCCTGTGATTCTAAACTGAGGTATCAGTAAAGGCCCGCTGCCCTATTTCCCCATGAGCAAAGCATATTAGCTTTCACAAGAGCCCCAACCTAAGCATTTTATCCATAACATAGATTAACACATCTGTCCATTTCTCACCCAAAGGGAGTGAATACGTTTTTTTTGTTTAGTTAAAAAAGTGCAAACCATGGAAAACCTGTGTCTGTCTTGCAGTTGGATCTCGGTGCTGACCAACAGCAAGGAGGAGGCGCTGAACATGGCGTTCCGCGGCGAGCAGAGCAGCGGCGGGGAGGACGGCCTGGAGGACCTGACCAAGGCCATCATAGAGGACGTGCTGCGGATGCCGGGCAACGAAGTCTGCTGCGACTGCGGAGCTGCAGGTGTGTGCACAGACACTCAGCACAAACCAAACCCCCCCTCTCCCCCCCCTCTCCTCCCCCCTCCTCACCGGAAAACGAGCCGCCTTGAACTCTCCATCCCGCAAATCCCCCCGCAGCCTTAAATAGGCAAAGCAAGGCAAGTTTATTTGTATAGCACATTTCGTGTACAAGACAATTCAAAGTGCTTCACAAGGGAATTTAAAAGCAGAAAAACAAGAAAAGAAAGATAATAAAAATTAGACGGATGAAAAGTGAAGGGTCAAGTCAAGTCAAACTTTATTTATATAGCACATTTAAAATAACCAAGGTTGCCAAAGTGCTGTACATAAAAAGCATGTATATGTGATTTTAATGTAAAAATTAAAAAAATTAAAAATAAAAATAAAAAAAATAACATAAAAAAATAAAAAAATAAATACAATAAAATAAATAAATTAAAATAAAAAAATTAAAATAAATTAATTAATTAATTAAATTCATACATAAAAAAAAATAAGACAAAATACATTCAATTTCCATACGCACAATTAAACAGAAGCCTTTTCAACCTGGATATAAACACTGTCAGAGTTGAAGCCTGTCTCACATCTTCAGGAAGACTGATCCAGATTTTAGGAGCATGGAGCTGAAATGAAGCTTGACCTTGTTTGGTTCTGACTCTGGGCACCAGCAGGACACCAGAACCTGAGGTTCTCAAAGTCCGAGCTGGTTCATATAAACAAATGCGTGCGCACGAGCTGATGCTGTCCGCTCGATCTTCATCCTCCCCCACACCAGGAAGCAAGGAGTCAGGCCTCGGGGGGGCCGTAGACGCTCCGACCCCCCGACACGTACACGCCGCACATGCACGTGAGCATGCGCACGGCAAACACAAACACACACACAGCAGCGAGTGGAGGATTCCTTCCTCTGAGGGGGAAAAAAAAACATTTGAAAGGCTTTGAGAAACAAGATTACATCACTTTCTTACATAAGTTACACACTCTACGTCGACCCCTGCAATCTGCAGTGGGAGGGGACGTGGGGGGGGGGGGGAAGAGGGGGGGCAATTTGTCATGCCTGCGCTCTTGTTGCTGCAATCGCTCATTTTCAAGGTTTGAGCGGAACGCTCGTTCCAGACGTGGATGCTTGATTCCCGGAGCATTTTCATCCCAAAATCCCGGTCGGGTCGTTTCCGAGGGGCTGATAACATGAACATGCTCCCTCTCATTGGATGCTCTCCCAGGAACTGTGGCTGCAGAGGACCCCGACATTCACGTTTGCTTATTGTGTCGCTGGAATGTGCGCACGCACGTACGCGCGCACTTGCCCTCCCGCTGTCCGCATTTTCACGTATGAGTCAGGGCTTTTTTTTTTGTTTTTTTAGCCGTCCCCATCCTCTCCTCCTCCTCCCTCCCCCTGCTGCATCGCCGAGGTCACTGCAACAAAAGCTGACTTTAAGGCCGTCCGGCATCCTTTCTCGTGCACTTTTCCGTGCACAGGTTATGTCATTGATTTTACTGAGCGCTGTGGGCTGGTGCCAGTGACGGCCCTCCAAGCGATCTGATTCACACAATCAGCGAATGTAAATCTTGGCTTCTCGGTATTAAAGTTGCTTCTCCGCGTTCCCTCTAATAAGGCCTGGCAACTTCCAGCGTTGCCTGACCTGAATCCAACTTTTAAATCCCCACACTCCCTGAGTAGATGGCCCTCCGCCATCACCAAAGTGAACGGGCTTTTTTCCTCATTGTCCGCAGACCCCAAGTGGCTCTCCACCAACCTGGGGATCCTCACCTGCATCGAGTGCTCCGGCATCCACCGGGAGATGGGCGTCCACATCTCCCGCATCCAGTCCATGGAGCTGGACAAGCTGGGAACCTCAGAGCTCCTGGTGAGTCACACACATGCTCAACCAGATGAATAAATAGCCTCTCTGAGACACACCCTTCTCTAGAGTTTCCTCATCCGCGGTTAAATATAGGAACTAATGAAAGAAGGTTTGAGTCCCCCCCAAACCAGCTGGGATTTCAGGCCCGAAACGCTGCTGTGCTTGCTGATAATATCCTGATTTGGTTCTCTCTTTCCGCCTCAGCTGGCAAAGAATGTAGGAAACAGTAGTTTCAATGAGATCATGGAGGGAAACCTCACCACCCCATCACCAAAGCCGACCCCCTCCAGTGACATGTAAGCCCTCTCTGAGTTTTAAAAATTCAAACATCCGCGTCTTTTTCTGAGATAACGCGCTCTAAGGGAGAAGCCTTCTCCTCCCCACAGGACGATGAGGAAGGAGTTCATCAACGCCAAGTATGTGGACCACAAATACGCCAGGAAGACGTGCACGTCTGCAGCCGCCAAGATGATCGAGCTGTTCGAGGCGGTTCAGTCCCGGGACCTGCTGGCTCTGATCCAGGTCTACGCGGAGGGCGTGGAGCTCATGGAGCCACTTCCAGAGGCAGGACCGGTGAGTCTGCAAAAAATTCAGCCGCCACCCTCATTTAGTGGGAGGCTTTGTTGTTCGTGAGACGTGGTCTGTGAGTTCATTCATTTCTCATTCAAGAAACAAGTACTGTATTTGTCAACAAACCCGGAAAGCCATGCTGTCAGTTTGTTAGCTGGGACTTTGCGATTGTTTTGGATGTTCTGTTTTGTTCACTTTGTGGAAAACGCCCATATTTCTGTCCTTTCTGTCCTCTATTTGCTTTGCATTACTCAACCTGTCATAAATCTACAAAGATGTGTACTCATGATCCATTTTTGAAAACGGAAAACCAGTTGAAACCCCAGTGGTCAGAGATGAGCCAGTTTTTTTCTGACATCCTGTTAAATGACTATCCCCCAAAGTAAACGGACTGGACATAGTAAAAGTAGTAAAAAAGACTGGAAAAGATGTTGTTTCTGATCATATAATATTACATATTTGAACTGTTGAGGAAAACTGAAGCATTTGCTTTTTCTTGAAGAACCATTTCAGGTTTCTAAAGACGCTATGTCAGCATGCTAACAAATGCAAAAAAGTGTGAAAACATGTGTGGAATGTGGAGTGCGTGCGGCCTCCCGTCTGAGCGCAGATTGGCGGAGTCGCTTCCATCCGGACGGCCGGCGCTGACACATTTCTGCCGGTCGCTGGGTAAAAATGGGTGTTGCAGTTGGAAAACTCTGAGTCATCCCGATAGCTCCGCCAGCAGGTGGTGACGGCCAGCCGAGCTCCACATCCCGGGGCCGTCGTCTGTTTCGAATCCGCGTTTACTCCCGACGGCTCACGGCTCCGATTGTTGTTTTGAAGCACCGGCTGGCTTTTTCTTTGTTTCCCCCTTTGAGGTGCCGCTCTGGACATCAATGGAAGTCAAACAACGAGCGGCGGACTGCGCTGCGAAACAACAGGCCTGATCAGACTTAATCTGACATAAGTGGGTCAGGGTTTTATAACGCAAACATGGTTGCACGCTGATGAAAAATTAAGGGTACAATGCTGCAGCGGGGAAAAAGGATGAAGGGGATTGGGTTCGGTGGTGGAGGGAGGTGCTGCTGCTGCTGCCTGCTCTGTGAGGTCTGAGTCACCGATATCTGATCTGCTGCTGCCGGTGCAGCTGAACGGCCGCAAAGTGACTTCCAAACCGCCCCGTCCAGCACGCAGAGGCATGAGGAAAACAGCTCCTCAGACGCGATTATTTAGAATACGCACAATGTAACTGTTCCGTCATTTTAATCTCATCCCTCATCATCTGATTTTGATTCTGACTGAATGATGATCACATACAATTTAGTGACACCCGGTCGCCCCAAAATCAGCTAAATCCCCACATCATAATGGTAGAAATGACATTTTTAGGAGCCATTTTGTTTACTGCTTCTTGTTTAAATGCTGAAAGACACAGACACACTCAACAGAATACAGAATGGATGCTACCCGGCGCCTCTCCCTGACTGTGCTGTGTTTGGTGGCCCCCTGCAGGAGTCCGGGGAAACTGCACTGCACTACTCAGTACGGACAGCTGACCATACCTCACTGCACCTGGTGGATTTCCTGGTGCAGAACAGGTATGTGAGAGGCGCCCTTTCTGTCCTGTGAGGAGAGAACATCAGTACGCGTGTGTGCAGAACGGCTTTGGGTCTGCCAGAGCTGAATTTGTTTGCTTAAGAGGAGTTAGAAGAAAGGGTCCAGCGTTGTGTTCGTTCTGTGTCTGAGTTGCTCTGTGCTCTGTGCTCCAGTCTGACATAAAAAGCAGTGGAAGCACAGAGGCAAAGCTGAACGCTGCGCAGCTTAGATTCCCACAAGGCAAACAGAAATGGGTCAAGCACTTGCTCTCTTCCTTAATTTATTCCTCTCTTTTCAATTGTTTATCCACTCATGCTCCAACTGCAGTCTCCTCAGAACACGCAGCACCCTTTTGTCAATCGACAGCCATTTTCATTCAGTTTTACGCTTAGCCTTCGTTATTCCCAGCGTTTTTTACACATTCCCTTAAGTATTTCGGGATGAAACGGCTTGGCAAGTCTCTTTTTTTTAAGTCAGATTTCAGTCCACTGGTTTATAAGACATTAACCTGAAACCCCCCTCTAGCCTGTGCCCTGACGATGACAGTTTGCCTTCTTAATTCCTCAACAGTGGGAACCTGGATAAGCAGACGGAGTGGGGGAACACCGCCCTGCACTACTGCTGCATGTACGAAAAGCCCGAGTGCCTCAAGTTACTCCTGAGGGGAAAACCGGCCACCGACATCCGTGAGTCGCACGCCAGGCGCCGTCCGCTCCTTCACGCCGCCTCGCATCCCCCCTCTAACTGTTGATTATCCCTCCTTCCCCCTGCAGCCAATCAGAACGGAGAGACGGCCCTGGATGTTGCCAGGCGACTGAGGAACACTCAGTGCGAAGAAGCGGTAAGTGCAGGACCGCCCATCTGCATCTGCTGGCCGTCGCAGCCTAAAAATAATCAAAAGAGCCTCAGAAATACGCGCAGATTGGATGAATAAGCCGGGGGTGGCGGCGCTTAGATTGCCCCCCCGTCAGGCCTGTGTTGAGCTCTGTAAGGCGAACACTAGGTGGCAGTCAGAGGTCTGAGTCCAGCCTCCGGCGACAGGAACAGCAGAGCGGAAGGAATCGTTCATGTGTGTTTGTTATGAACGCCGACGTGAGCATGGAGACAAAAGAGTGAACATACATGCACTGGAATCCCTGCTGTTTGTGTTCTGCCTCAATAAGCCGGATGTCCAGACAAAAGAACAGTCGTGAACCATCCTTTTCTCACGTTCATTCAGACGCTTTTGATCGTCTTCTTTCTATCTAGTTTCCGTTCATTTGATTGGAACAGATTGTGCCGCAGCCATTTGCAAAAACCGTTGCTTGTGTGTTAGCTTGTGCAGGCCGCAGAAGGGAAATTCAACCCTCACATCCACGTGGAGTATGAGTGGAGCCTCAGACTGGAGGAGATGGACGAGAGCGATGACGACCTGGATGATAAGGTGTGAACAAAGGGCTGATGGAGCCTCTCTGTTCCCCCAGAGTTCATCAACCACTTCATGTTTGATCAATCTCTTTTGAGCATTATCAGATCAGATCAGCTAAAGGGAATTCCACATTTTAGAAAGAGACAGTAAACAGAGAATAAACACAGAATAAATCCTTTATAAAGATGTTAAAAGCTGTTTTTCTTTTGTTTGTTTCCCCTTTAAGGGTGTTTACCACATGTAATATGTCATTTCTACATGTAATACAGCTTATACCACCACCCTCTGGTGACAACACACAGCATAACATTCATCTGGATCAGTATCCTGTTTTTTTATCTGAGTATATTTTCGCTTCAGATCGTCCATCTTGCAGAGCTTGTCAGTTGTTGTATGATGACTTAGCTTTTAGGGACAGAGACCCATTTTCTGGGGCCAGAGTATAACTGGCATTTATCAAGATAACAAATATCCAGACCAGACAGGTCCAATATGCAGGTCAGGATCAGAACCAAGACCCTAAAGCTGGGGTTAGCTTAGCAGCACCGGTTAGCGATGCTATAGAGGCCAGTGGAGTGAATGAAATGTGACCGAAGGCCGATCGGTGACGGCTCCTCTGTGTCCCTCCCCAGCCCAGTCCCATCAAGAAGGACCGCTCCCCGAGGCCCCAGAGCTTCTGCCACTCCTCCAGCCTGTCCCCCCACGACAAGCTCTCCCTGCCGGGCTTCATCAGCCAGCGGGACAAGCAGCAGCGGCTGTCCTACAGCGCCTTCACCAACCAGATGTACAGCGCCTCCACCGACCTCAGCTCCTCCCCGGTGGCCGACGGGCCGCCGCTGCCCCCCCGAAACCAGGGCAAAGGTCAGACACGCCCGCCCCCCCCAGAGCGCCGCCGTCCCGTTAGCGGACAGAGTTCGGGTTCACCAGCTAGCTTAACTCATTGACTGCCAGCCATTTTCAGAACAGAGTCCTATACTGCCAGAGTTTTTTGAGCATTTTGACTGATTTTTCAAGAGCCGCAGAATAGTTTGTGCTATGACTATGTAAACACCGAACACACCAAAAGAAAGAGCAGACTCTCTTCTTTCATCAGGAAAAAAAATGTGTTTCTACCTTATTCTGTTCTTCCTCAACTTGCGTCTCACCGGCGCCATTTCTCGCATAGCGAACCATTACGTTTTTCTTATTTGCCTACAGTCTATGCTCATCTCCCATCAAAAGTGGCACCGCCACCTAGAGGGTCAATTTGTTACTACATACTCTGTCTAGAAGCCTGATATTTACGGACAAGCTTTAGCAGATCGTCCCCCAAGCCACTCTCGTTGAAAAACATAAAAGACGTCTATAGACGTCTTTGGCAGTCAACGGTTGTATTTGAATTGACGTCTATAGACGTCTTTGGCAGCCAATGAGTTAAATGAGCCCGCATTGCTAAACGGAGGAAAGATTGTGCGTTCTATTGTGTGACATGACGGGAGACGGGCGGTGGAACTGACTTCATTATGTCTGTTAATGTTTGATTACGTCCAGGACAGAGTTAGGTGTGGAGGAATGCTTCCTAATCGCTTTAGTGGAAAGTTTCTCCTCCGTGCCGTCCGTCAGCCTCCACACACACACATTTACACACACACATTTACGCACCCTGTAGTGGTATGCAGCTTGTCAGCACACAGATCAGAGGGCGGAAAGCAAGAGTCATTAAGATCGCTTACAAAGTAAACCTCAAGGAAAACATGGCCGCAGGAGAGGGCAGGCTGGCATTGTTATCCAGACGTGTGAAAGGAAAGTTGGATACACACGTCATTATTAGCCTCAACACAGTGCACACACACAGTGTGCTGGCTCTGCAGTATCCCGGTTAGAATAACACTCCCCAGCAAACGAGCGGACACACATCATGCAGCTAACTCTGCAGCACCCATG